GTCTTCTGTAGAAAAAGATAACTTTGGTTAGAAAACCATCACTATTCAGTTGTTTATCTGGAGCTCTGCCTTGAGAGAATATGATCATGAACACTTTGAATACATACACGTGTATATTACTGCAGTCAGACAGTAAATGTTTGTTTTTGTCACCTTTTAGCCTACTTCCTGTTTTTAGCCAGAGTTTTAAATTTACTCTAAACCTCAGATTGGTGGGCAGACAGGAGACATGAGACAAACACAGGCACTTTTTACTGCCTTTTGGAGTTTGTTCTAGTCGAAAAAAGGAACATACATTACTGTTTAACACTTGTTTCTAGCAGGCGAACACTTTATAGTTAAGCATGTTTGTTATTAACTTGTTATTCTGTGTGTCTCAGGGTGATTGCCGGTCCTACAGTTACGTGTGTGGTGTCACAAGTAAAGAATCTCCACATTGGGAATCTCTCATGTTCTTGGCCAGACTCATCCCTCGCATGTGCCATAGCATCAACAGGTAGTGCACAAACCTTTGCTCTCAGTGATATGCTTCTATAGACTCTTGCTGTCGCCTATAAACACACTGTCACCTCTCTCTTCTTTCCAGAGTTGTGTATGTATTCGGTTCCCACGTGAAAGAACCACCAACAGACATTACCCCGACCTTCCTGACCACAGGTGTTCTGAGCACGCTCAGACAGGCTGACTTTGTAGCTCACTCTATCCTTAGAGAGTCTGGTAAGAGTTTGTGTGTACAAGTGCTTCACAACATTGATTTAGACATGTGGATTGAAATGTCACAGATTATTTTGAAAGGAATTGAGTGTGTTTACAATTTAAGTAAATGTAAAAGAGGAGCAGCCAAAGGTCCATCTGACAACACTGTTTGTGTAGAGCCGCTCTTCTGTTTCAGAGGCCAGCATCTTATCTTACCATTGTAATTGAATTGCCTGCATACTTGCATCTATGTAGGGGAAATTAACATTTCCCATGGGGCAAACCAAATCTTTGAAATGTTCTCCATTGAGGAATGTTCTTTTGTAAAATGACTGTACTTTTTTATGACCTGAGTTTCATTTAGTATGTCATAAAGCTTACCTAAAATGTGTTACAAGGATTAATAAAGATCATTTAGTCCCAATTTCATAGACAAACAATTCATAGTGTTATTCAAGCACTGATACTCCATTAAGACATTTAGTTTCTGAGGTATGAAACAAACCTGTTTTATTTGGTTATTCATCAATTAATTATTCCAGGCAGCACGAGGCACACTGAATCTATTTATCGAAACATTGAATGTGGGGCATTCAGGTTTCTTCTTCTTTTTTTTTTTTTTTACTATAGCAAAAAAATGATGCCTCAGAGGTGATGCAGCTACATTCCTTATCAGAAATAAGAGTTCCCTCACTTTGACTATTCCTCTTTTTAAGGCTATTCCGGTAAGATCAGCCAGATGCCAGTCATCCTGACACCCCTGCACTTTGATCGTGACCCACTGCAAAAGCAGCCATCCTGCCGGCGCTCCGTTGTGGTCCGCACCTTTATCACCAGCGATTTCATGACTGGCATTCCCGCCATGCCGGGCAACCATATCCCAGAGGAGGTATACCATCATTTAAACTCAAAAGTTTGTCTTAGAAGAATGTTGGATGTTGAATTATTTTCCCCTTTACTTTTCTCTCCAGCTGTATTGATGTAGTTTTCTTTTCCTAGGTGGTTCTGAAGATGGTGAATGAGATCAAGAAGATCCCCGGCATTTCCAGAGTCATGTATGATCTGACCTCCAAGCCACCTGGCACCACAGAGTGGGAATGAAACCCATTACGACGTACCCATAGAACACACACTCACACACAATGCACAAACACTCTCAACAGATAACAGAGAGGGCTGGTGAACTCCCCCTTTTCAGTCCCCCTTCCTATTATTCTCACCCTGCTCCTCTTCCCACCTCCTGTACCTCCACCCCTCTCTTCAACATTCCCATGGAAGGCAGACCGTACTGTGACGGGCGCACATGCAGAGGCGCCTCTACTCTGCTCTCCTCACAACTCCTCCTTGGTCTTAATATTTTTGGCGATAGGGATTGATTAATGTTGGTTATTGATAATATATTGTCATTTTTTGATCCATGTTCAACAGTGTTTTTTCTTCTTTAATGAAAAGGTAAATTGCTGCTTCCTTTTGTAAGGTCAACCTTTAAAGACAAGCGGTGAGAAGCTGTGAAAGTTCACAACGTGGACTTTAATGTTGCATCAGATTGAGTTACGGGATGAGCTGAACATGAAAAGCAAACAGTAGTGTCAAGGAAAGAAAAAGAGCAGAGAGAGAGAGAATGAAAATGTTCAGTTATTTTTTTTGTCTGGTGTCTGTCTTACCATTGTAGGTCAGAATGTTCTCAACTTTAGACGATCCTCTGATGGTTAGTTTTCACTTTCTGCCTCTATACTGTGCTATGAAGAAGGTCGTCTGTTTAAGGTAAATTTGGACAGATGACCCTTGTGACCAATCAATACTTTTTAAGCTTTCTTTCTTTTTGCCAAAAGTGGATATGCTGTGGTGATGTATAATGTTATGGGCTCCTCTGACGATCTGTCAAAGCTACATTTGTTGAAAAGATCTCTTGACTTGTTGCTGAACCCTTTGTGGACAGCAGTCAATCCAACATAAGCTTCAGTATGAGGACTAGTATGCAGCTGTGCAGGAGGCCAATATGGTGGGTGACTTTGTATGTGCCTGTTTAATTGCTTTTGTTTATTCCTTTGGATATTTCCAGAAAGGAGGATATAACACTTTTTTCTCCTCATGCTGCAATATGTATGCTTTTTATGAAGAATAAAAATGGCAAGGGGGCTAGCTATTAATGAAATTATAAGTACAGTAGAGTTTATAACTACATTGTGTAAATTGCTGTTGTCATTTCATCACCATTTGGCTGCTGCTTTGTTGTACAAGGGCATATTTTTTGCACATTTAGGCTTGTTTCCACCTTTTTAAGTATTGGCATAATCAGCATTACATCCACTGAGAACTTCACCTCATAAATGTGTCCCTATGTAGTGTCAAAGTTCAGGTCATGAGCACAGTCTGTTGCCATCTCTAATGTAAGCTCACTGTGTCTGAGAAAGCTTATTTTTTTCTGTCCTACACTGTCAAAACATTCAGCACACCATATCCCTTGTCATATCTCAGTGAATACAGTGCTCAGGTTTAACTGAGTTTTTAAACGTGTATTGTACCTGAAATAGACACACTCGGACGTTGTGGTTCTTATGCCTCCAGAATATGATTTTGTGCCTCTCTTCCTCTGTTAAATCCTTAACCTTTAGTGGCGAAATACTCCCAATGCAACATGAATTGTTTTTCCTAACTTGTCTGAACTGCTATTAGTGTGTCTCCCCCTCTTCTGCCTTTTTCTAAGTGTGTATATTCTGTTACTGAAAGTATGTCTCCATTATAAACAACACCTAGAGGATAATGGACACAATTTTGTAGTTTACCTGCAATTTCAATAAGATTAAGTTATGCAATTTAATGTTTGTTTTTTCAGTTTTGTTCAATAACGCTCATTCTCCTTTAGTCACGTGCCTCAAACCAAGCCACTGCATGCAGTTTCATCGATGATGACATTTGTAAAATGGAAAACTGAGCTTTAATAAAGATCTTCATGTTGAAACTTGTATTTATTTTTGTAATAACAGTGAACACGTCAATAAACATGTAGTCTGTAAATAAAGATATCAATTACAGTAGAAGTAAGCTGTCAGCTTAGTGGTATATTTGAACAAATTCAGTCCTCTATTAGAAGTTACAAAAAAAAGCAGAATCACTGTTCAAATATAGCTTGATACAGTAATCTTCAAATCTAAGTGTTGAAAACATGATTTACTTTTAAGGAATGACTTCAGGAATTTAATCTGACTCTAGATCATAAGAGGTCAACAGTCAGACCTCTAGATCATGTAGATCTTCCTTTTGCAATTTTTTCCTTTTAAACATAATCTGATAAATGCCAGTTTCACCTTAAATCATACAAGTTTTTCAAACACCAGATGAAAGGGCACCTAAAAGAATATGTACAAATTTGAGTAACATTTGAAAATTGCAAATGCATAGTCATCTTGATCAGGGTGTTTTTATTGACTGCCCTTTTTCTCCTCCTTTACCACGTGCTTCTATATATGTCTACACAAAGCCATGTCTGACACTTAACTGATTTATCACAGCGCTCATCAGTTTCTTACATCTCTCATGTGCCTCAGACATCACACTCAAAAATGTATCACTTCATCAGCAAATTTTCCAGATGTATCTCTCCTCCTTTTTTTTTAGATTTCTACTTTTTAGTGATAATTACTATTTAGTTTCATTTCATGTAATCATAGTCATAAATGACTGCTGTGGCCAGCCATATCTTTTTTAAATGTCATTTGATGAAATGAATGCCTGTTTGTGTGCAGTTAGTCTCTGTTGCCCAGCAGAGGTCCCTCAGTGTGCTGGAGGGTTCAGGTGTGTGTTTTTCCCCACTGACTGAGAGACAAGAGCAGACAAGTGCAGCCAGTCATCAACACAGCACAGAAAATGCACTCAGGGGACAAAGGCACAATTTTGAAACAGTAGCTGCGCAACACGACTGCACAAGTTACCACATGTTTCTGCTAATTAACTCCTGGCCTTTGGCGGTTTATCCTCTGAGCTGACCTGTTACTGACTGATACACTGATTTTTATTTACAAAAGAAAAGAGGGAATTAACTGAGAAAAAACCAATGAAGGGATTTTTCTTTAAAGCTAAAAGACATCCATTGGTTTTTGCTTGTGTATGATTGGTTGTCCTGCGAAGGCACTTTTTAAAAGACCCTTCATTTTGTACATCTTTTTTTTTTATTGTTTTGGAATATACCAAAAATGACTGTCCTTTTCTTTTTGTTATATAAAATAAAGATGTATAATAAGTCAGTCAGTGATAGTTATCCAATGTCCTATATTCTTTTGCACTGTTGAATCTCAGGCTAACTCATGCAGCACATCTCCCTTGAGAGCAGGTAGGACACCTGTCACACTTTGCTGTTCATTTTACTGTCTGAGTCACAGCGAGAGCTCTCCTGACTTGTCACTGCGTCCTCGTAGCATGGAAATCATTCGCTTTTTGCTTGGACTATGTGTCTTTTTCTACTTTCACAGATCTGTTTCAGCAGAGGCCACATGCAAGCTGAAGGCAAAGTTCAACCTGAGCGGCTACAAGAATGTGGAAAAGAAGAAGGTTGTTATTGGGGGCATGTTTCCTGTACACAAGCGTATTGCATCCAGTGATGGCAACACTTCAAGGGTGCCTGTCTCCTCAGGGTGTGAGGGGTGAGTAGAGCAATGACAGAACTAGTCATGTGTCCCCTTTTATCACTCTGACTTTGTTGTATTTTTGTTTTTGTTTCATTTATTGTTAAAACCTATTAAAGTTGTCACAGGTGAGTGAATCTCTTTGGGTTACATTTTTTAATATTTCTTATTTGCTACATTTAGCACTTGATTATTTAAATCTGATTGATGTAATAATATGTCTAAACCAAACAGTGTGGTCTCAGAACCTTGTGATTTAATTACAGAAATCCAGACAGAGCAGAGCAGCATCTATGGGACCAATTAGCCACAGCAATCCATATCATTATGGAGGCAAGCCTTCACATTGCAATTTGCAACTATCATCAGCAACTCTGTGTACTGCCCTCTTGTGGCTAACCTAGGCGATAACAAATAAAAAGTCAGCAGGTTGCATTCATTTGCACACCATTTAAATTAATTTATTCTTTCTGTTATTGTGATTTAAATAAACAGATAACTTTCACGAAACTTTTTTTTTTACTGTGGGTAAAAAACATTTAAGACAAAATATGCAATTATTTCTAACTATCAGAGTAAAATATTCTATTATGACATTACTCACCAATCATCCTTTAGGTTTAACTTCCGCACCTTCCGTTGGACCCAGACCATGCTGTTTGCCATTAATGAAATTAACAAGAGGAACGACATACTGCCCAACACAGACCTCGGCTACGTCATCTATGACTCCTGCTTCACCATCTCCAAGGCAGTGGAGGGCACCCTCACTTACCTGTCAGGCCAAGATGAGGCTGTACCCAACTACCGCTGCGGGACTGGGGCACCTCTCGCTGCTCTGGTGGGCGCCGGGGGCTCTGATCTTTCCATTGCCACTGCTAGAATACTTGGACTCTATCACTTCCCTCAGGTAGGCTGGTTCCGAGTTACAATGAGGTAGATAAAGATTAGGACACAGAACCCAACTGCTCTACACTGTCGTCTGCAGGTCAGCTATTCTTCATCTTGCTCCGCCCTGGAGAGTAAGTTCCAGTTCCCTACTTTCCTGAGGACCATTCCCAATGACAAGCACCAGTCTACAGCTATGGCCCAGCTGGTACTGCACTTTGGCTGGACTTGGGTAGGCACCATTGCTGCAGATGATGATTATGGCAAGTATGGCATCAAAGACTTCAAGGAGCAGGTGGAGGAAGCTGGTGTCTGCATATCCTTCTCTGAGACACTGCCCAAGGTGAGCAGCTCCATCCCACCTGCAATTGGGACTGTGTCCTATCATGACATGCTTGTCTTTTCTACAGGTGGATATTGTTTTTGTACATTTCAGGTGAGTTCCCCGGAGGACATTCAGCGCATCGTTCAAACTGTAGTCGAGGCCACAGCCAAGATCATCGTGGTTTTCTCATCAGACGTGGATCTCAGTCCACTTATTGTTGAGCTGCTCCGGCATAATGTGACCAACCGCACCTGGATTGCCAGCGAGGCCTGGGTGACCTCCGCTCTTATCAATCAGCCAGACGTGAGTACTAAGATGAGTTATTAACAGCTCATGGAAACACCGACTGATGTTTGATCTCTAATTACAGATTTTGAGCTGAGGTAGAAGTAGGTACATTGTCCATGTGTTTATGCAGGTGAGCTCGGTGCTGGGAGGTACTTTGGGCTTTGGAGTAAAAAGGGCAAACATACCAGGCCTTCAGCACCATCTACTGGATTTGGACCCTTATGATGACCCACTTGCTGAGGAATTCTGGGAGTTGGTGAGTTTATTAAGCTGAATCAAGGTACTGATGGTTTCGGGAGTATACTCATACTACACATCTATTTGCCTGGTTCAAAATCTGATTTAGACTTAAATGCAGATAGTTATCATGTATAACATTTTAGAAACACTTTATGGTAAAATAAAAAGCAACTTATGTTCCACAAATCTAATGAAAAGTAAAGCTGTTACCTTATGTTTGTCTTCTAGTTGTTTCCCTGCACATTGAACTTTAGCAAAGCAGCGAGTCATGCCAAGCAAATGGCTGAAGAGGTTAACGGAACACTTTCCAGACCAGTGAGGGGCATTCCTGAAGGGCTATGTACAGGGCGTGAGTCTCTGGCACAGCTCAATAACACTTATTTGGATGTTTCCCAGTTACGAATAACTTACAGGTCAGTTCTTACTGATTCTAGTTATTGACATGTTACTCTTCAACTCGTATCATCCCAACTACTAACCCTCAATCCTCTATACCCTCTACCACCATTTAAGAGCCAGTTCCACCAAATTACAAAATGTATACAGTGCATGGAGGTAGTTGTGGTTTTATTAGCTGGGGTACCTGCGCAAAATATCACTTGTGCTGCATAAAGCAATGAAAAAAATATATATATTAAAAATATACACAGAAATGTGTCCTTTACCAGAAATAGTCCAGGATACAAAACACACAATACATTGTGAATAGTTTTAACAAGCACTATGAAATAAAACAATAGTTCCAGATTAATTAAGCCATTATTTGTGAAAAAGAAAGAGACTTGCAGGTGTTACTTGAAGTGAAAACATCATTCAGGAGTGGCAGCAAGTGAAAATATGTTTTTTTTTTCCCCCAGTGTTATTTTGTTGAACTTATCCTTTAATTATAAAATCATATAATTGAAATGTGGATTTCTGATGATTAATAATCATACATTTGTGTACACTATGACGATGTTTCCTCAAAGTGTGTACAAAGCCGTGTACGCTGTGGCCCATGCTCTGCACAACCTAGAGCACTGTGAGGCGGGAAAGGGTCCGTTCAATGGGAAAAAAGAATGTGCTGACATCACCAAGTTTGAGCCGTGGCAGGTAAGCTTGTGTGTCAATGTGTCTAAGTACAACCAATTAATAAATGTGTGTAACAGGAATGCGGCTTTGTCTGCTTCTTTTTCAGCTGATGTACTACTTGAAGAATGTGCATTTCAAAGTACCGAACACAGATGAAGAGCTCTACTTTGACAACGGGGATGTAGAAGCATTTTATGACATAATTAACTGGCAGATCAATAGTAATGGGGAGATATCCTATATTACTGTTGGACGCTACAATGGCTCAGCAGCCCCAGAGGACAGGATGACCATAGTGAATGACTCCATTGTGTGGAACAATGAAGTTTTGCAGGTCAGCAGTAGATTGATGAAGACAACAACAAACCACATACTCTTCTAGATAATTATTCCAACACCATCTGTACTTCCGAATGCAAATGTGGAGCAATGTGTGTGTGTGTGTGTGTGTGTGTGTGTGTGTGTGTGTGTGTGTGTGTGCGTGCGTGCGTGCGTGCGTGCGTGCGTGCGTGTGTGCGTGTGCGTGTGTGCGTGTGTGTGTGTTGCAGCCTCCTAGGTCAGTGTGCAGTGAAAACTGCCAGCCTGGAACCCGGAAGGGAATCAGACAAGGAGAGCCGGTTTGCTGCTTTGACTGTATCCCATGTGCTGATGGAGAGATAAGCAACATGACTAGTCAGTATAAAGCTTTCAAAGTGCATCATAAAGTCATCTTTTCACATTTATGTCCTTGACAAGTTAGAGTTAGAACAACCAAACAACCATGTGTTTGCTCTTACAGAAACTGTTACCCTATATAAAGTTGCTGTTGCAGCTCAGTCTTGAACTTGCTGCCCTCCCTCCCTCCCTCTTTGACAGATGCTCGTGAATGTGTCCTGTGCAGTGGAGACTACTGGTCCAATGAGGCTCATGATGCATGTTTACCAAAAATCATTGAGTTTCTGGCCTTTGGAGAGCCACTGGGGATCACTCTCATCGTCATCTCGGCCTTTGGAGCTCTACTCACCATTGCTGTCGGGGTGAGACTTGCACAGAAGAATGAATTCCTCATGAAGAAACTCAAACATGGCCTTTTTGTTGTGAGTAAGGGGATTACGTTGGGTAAGTTTGCTGTTCTTCGTTTTTCAGGTGGTGTATGTTGTGAACCTGGGCACCCCTCTGGTGAAAGCTAATGATGCTTTGTTGAGTTTCTCACTGCTCTTCTCGCTGGTGGTGACCTTCCTCTGCTCCATCGTCTTTCTCGGAGAACCTCAGCACTGGAGCTGCATGACCAGCCAAGTAGGACTGGCTCTGGGCTTTGCTCTCTGCCTTTCCTCTCTCATGGGTAGGTACATGGTCCAAAAGGTACATACCTTCCTTTTAGCTGTACTGTTTTGTGTATATGTGTGGATACGGACTGCACATCTGTGCAGCAAGTTTAGTCATCTGGACCATCCTAATTTCAAAATTGTGAAATTGTCAAAAGTGATATTTTTTATTCTATCAGTGCATAATGTTACATTCTGTCGTTCTACTTCAGGTAAGGCGGCTGTATTAATGCTGAGAGCTCAGGCTCTGAAAGCAGCCCGTGCAAGAAACAAAGCAGCTGCTAAAGCTGCAAAAGCTGCAGCTGAAGCAGCAGCCAACAGTGGAAATCCAGATGTCATTGTAACCAACACAATTCATAACACTGATGCTACTTGTGCTAAACCTGAAATAGACACTCTCACATGTGCCCACCAGAGGGCGATAGCTTCCGTGGCAACATTAATACAGGTAAGGGAGGGAGGGGGAACTTGAATCCAACCATGAACTCTTAATCCAGATGCTGTTATGATACTATCATCATTCCTCTACCCAGGCTATAGCATGCACAGTGTGGCTCATCATCCTTCCTCCACATCCAGTCAAGAACACCTCTGCCCAGAATATAAAGATCATTCTCGAGTGTGATGAAGGCTCTGTGGTCTTCATTTGTTGTATCTTTGCCTATGACATCCTGCTGGCTCTGCTGGCCTTCATCTTTGCCTTCATTGCCCGTAAACTGGAAGATCACCTCAGGTAGGAAACATAGGGGCCATGTTTTTCTCAAAAATAAAAATAGGATCAGAATGTTTAAAAGTTACAGAACAAAGAAGGAAAGATGAACAACACAGCTGTTTCTTTCCATTTCCAAACAGCCAGACCTCTCATCACACACCCAACAACATAACAATAGTCAAAACAAAATAAGAGGAAGCTTGTTCGATTGTTCGATCACCACCAGCAGGCCAAGGCACTGAGCCCCACAGTGCCTCCGAAAGCACAGCCCACTATGGAGTGTAATTTCTAATGACTGGTTAGACAGATGGCAAATTGGCACTTTACATAGCAGATTCTGCTATCAGTGTCTGAATATATGTATTAAAGGATAATGGTGACATGTAGAGTAAAGAGAACTTAAGTGGTTGGAAGACTAGAAAAAAACTTTTAGTGCAGTCAGTTCACCAATCGTTAGAATCTACTTTTGACTTTGTAATTAACTGTCATAAATTCATGAATTACTATAAGATGTAATTGTATTGTTTAGGGGACATTTTTCATGGGGACAAAATAATATTGTGTTACTTTCCTGTTTTACCATGCTTAACACAGCCTACTTTATCTAACTTATTACTAGCTGTACAAGGAATCAAATACCTACAGTATACTCTTACATTATATTATATAATACAAATTATTTATCACTGGAACAAATTCAATTTTTTTTTCTTGAAATCCAACCTGAAACCACCTTTCTGCTTGGATCAGTTTAATTCTAATGAAGTGGATCAAAGGTATCACAATCCGTCTCAAAAGTTCTGAACTAAACATCCTGGTCACAACCTAAACTGAATTATTTGGATTAATAATCTCATCAGATGTCAGGTTGTTATCCATTCCTGTAGTCGGCATCTTATCAAATTACCAAACAAGGGTGATATTTTTCACATTAGTAATTCAATCAATCTATACAATGACATCCATTACAACTAGAGTAGAATAGAATATACCTTTATTGTTATTGCTATAAAAACAACGAAAAACAGTTTAGCATCTCCTGTCATTTGCAACACACACAGATACACAGCTCACACAGGGCAGGTGGGTAATAAACAAAGCTCTATAATGGTTCGTTTCTAACTTAATTAATTCTAATAGTATTACCAGTTTCAAAGTTGATCTTGAAAATAACTTGAGTCAAGGACACCAACTTAGATATGATAACTAACAGTTTAAATGTAAGGTGACATGTTATGAAAGATTTTCCACTCCTATTTTCACCTCCTCATCTTTTGTCTCAATGCAGATATCAGCCACATACAAACCCCACTTATAACCTGTTAAATGTAAAACGTTAGAGATTTAAATTTAACCTTTCAAATGCATGATTTAATACCCTGTCTTTCAGTGAGGCCAAGTGTGTGACATTTGGCATGCTGGTCTTCTTCATCGTTTGGATCTCCTTTGTCCCGGCGTACCTCAGCACACGAGGAAAGTTCATGGTTGCTGTCCAGATTTTTGCCATCCTGGCATCCAGCTTCGGCCTGCTGACCTGCATCTTCCTGCCAAAGTGTTACGTTCTTTTGATCAAACCTGAACGCAACACAGAGGAGATGATGAGGCCTCGCGCCAAACTAAGTGACGGAATCTCGACTGGGACCTCAGCCTCACTCGCTACAGCTGCTACTGAGGTCAACGCTACAATCGCATCCACTGCTATTGATGATTAGCAGAGCAACAAAGAACTAAACAGAGCCACTAGAATTGAAATGTCAAAAATGTATGGCAGATCGGCCACTGTTTCATCGGGCATCTGGACCAGCTGAATAGGGCCTCATGTTTATTCATGTGTATTTTACAGTCAGCAATTGTAGCCTTTAATTCATAAATCAAATAATTTAGATTTATAAACTCGATTGATGTCAATATGCAATGCGTAAAGAAAACTTCTACCTCTATATACAGCATTTTAAAAAAAAGCTACTTTAGGATGCAATTGTAAGCAATTTTGACTTCACTTGATTTGTTACGATGTCTATTAATCCTGTTAATAAAAATCCAGCATGTTCAGAATTTTACTGTAGATGCTGCTGTTGTGGTTATGGTAGTGTAATTACTTAACATTTGACATTTTCTTTTAATTAAAAGCAGATTCAGTTTTGAGCCGATTAAATTAAGTTGTTGTTGTTGAAAACATTTGTTTCGATGATTTCTCTCGACACTTAACTTTTATTCGTTAAAACTATCAACACCGTAAAAGGTGCTGAGTTTCTGTTGGTTAAGTGTCTACTCAAAGCAGTTATAAGAACATGTACAATTATCAAAATGATATGGCTAAAATAACATAATGAGTGACTGCTTCTGTTCTAACTACACCTTACTTCACAAATCCAACATTTATGGTAGACCATTTGTGCCTCTGTTACATTGCGTTCCTTTACTTTTTAAAGTAGTGCATGTTTTCTTAAATATAAGAAGTTTCTAAATGTAATAATATAATATTGTTATTATATGTAATTTACTTTTTAAAGCAATATATCATAATGTTTTTTTTCATTTCTTGTACCAAAAAAGAGATTCAAAATATTGCATTTTACTGCATAATTTAAACTCTGTTCAGACTTCTCATATAAAAGGAAGACTAGTCAGTGCTATTGAGCACTTGAAACTGTAATGTGCTAATAGACAATTAAAGAAGAGTTGGTAACACTTTATAATAACCAGCATCTATAAAGGCTAAATAAGGGTAAGTAGATTAATTAACCTTTAGTTAATAATTATTTACTGTTAACAAACAATGAAATGAGAGTTAATAATGTTTGCTAACTATCTGAAATGCTATAATTTATGTTATGTTAACAGTTTATTGATGCAGACATTATAACATTTTAAACACTACATCAAATGTTTGTTAATGATGAACAAATGATTAGTAAACCTTTACAAGATGGTTTATAAAACATCTATAAACATTGCAGAGACACATGGACCAGATATTTGTTCATGGTTTGTAAATATTTGATAAAGCGTCTATTAACATTATTTGGATGGTTATTATAAAGTTGGAACTGAAGATTGTAATCCCTTGTTAATACTTCGTAAAGCATCTATAAATATATTTAGATAATAAGGTAATTAATACTTTATCAAGTACCAAGTACTAAACTGTTCTTTGAAATTGATATCTGGTAATACATGTATTATTACAGATCTGTTGTCTAGACTAGAGAGGTTAATATACTATCTATTCTATTCTATTTACATTTATTGACCCTTTACAGATGATAGGTATTATAAAGTGTTACCGAAGAGTTTTCAACTGGGCTGTGGCTCAGCTGGTAGAGTCTGTTGTCTCTCAACTGGAAGGTTAGGGGTTTGATCCCCAGCTCATGCAGCAACATGTCGGTATGGTATAGTATGAGATAAACAATATATTGTTTACTTAGAATTGTAAGACAACAAGATTAAAGTAAGCTTATATAACAAAAAATAGTACATAATAAAAACTACAAGACTGAGAGACGTTTTGTATTAAGTTATATTTGCGTGTTTGTGTGTGTGTATTGATTGTCCCATAAATCATGAAAGCTTTATTGACCTTATATTGCAGAAGAGGATGAAGCAACATTCTTGTTGTTTCATGCGTCACATATAACTATTGTATTTTTATTTTCTCTCCATCAGCGGGCAGACAACCTAATTTTTCATGTTTATGTTTCCATGCTTGAGATGCTGTTTTGTGTCAGTGCAGGTGCTATTTTCCCTTCAGTCCATATATTGTGTTTTTGTACTTGTGTGTGTTCTCTTACTCGTGAGCACTTGGCTTTCCAGGAATTTGAAAGGCTTAAACTGAGACCAGCCAAAGCCATCATTGTGGACAATGATAAATGTTCCCGGTGACAGAGCAGTGAAGGAATGTGACAAGAGAGGACAACAGCAGTCGTGCTAAATCAAGACAAATGTGCGTATAGGCATCGCTGCATATGTGCGTGCTTATTATTTCACCAATTTTTAAAGCAGGCAGGCTCTGCTTAAAATTAATCTTACAATTTCCTTTTGTTTTGTATTTCAGGTCAGTGTGCAAGAAATATTTTCCTTCATGATATTTTTAAGATTTTAGTTAGAAAATAAAAACATATTGTACTCCCAGTTTCAAAAAGACTTTTGTGACAATTTTTTCACATTTTATGCTGAAAGGACCCGACAGTCACCTTGTGATTGACGAAGAACTAAGCGCTTTTTGTTTGTTTTAGTAGATGCCCCTAGGGAAGCCCAAGAAGGGGTGGAGGATGTGATCCCCATACCAACAGACCTACTAGTATCCACCCATGCTGACGATCAAAGGACAACGAGTGTGGAGTGTGTCCGTGGCAACACATGTAAGAACCTGCATGGATGGAAGATTCACCAAACCAAGAAGAGATGTTTGGGCAGGGAGCAGCTGGTGAACCAACAGGACACCTTGTGAGAGGCAAGAGGAGTCAGGCGTGAAAAAAAAACACACGGCGCAGAACCTCTGTGCACCTGGCGCTCCAAGCTCAATTAGGTCTGTAGATCTGGTAAAATGGCCGACAGCCAGGGTGGAAGCATAGCCCCAGTCTGATGGGGACGTGAGCACACTCCTGGAAACAAGGAGGGTGAAATGCAGCACAACCATAATTGTCAGCCTGGTAGCAGAGAGGTTTGGACTGGAGGACAGAAGACAGGGTGGAACCTGGTATGTGAAGAACTGACGGGCCACAAAGATCAGCCAGTTCTGGCAAGAACTTAAGTCTCTGAAAAGCCACTTCAAGTAGGCCGCAGAAGAAGAGAAAGCCCCCCCCCCCGATGGAACTTTGCAGTGTCCTGAGGAAGAAGCTCATCACTCTGTGACACAAGCATCGAGCACAAGAGAGGACCAGGAAGCAGGTAGCCGTTATAGAGGACTCCTTCAACATCTCCAGACAGCTGATCAATATCCCTCCCAATATCTCAGCAGCACGTACTGAGATACTGATAGAGAGAATGACCTGGATGTGTGCAAGACCCTGGGGAGACCATCAGCACCAAGCACAGAGTTTGACTGCAGTACGCCCAGTTGGAAGAAGGTGCAAGAGGTTGTAAAAACAGAAAGATCAAGCTCAGCCCCTTGAGAGAAGAGGCGAAACATCCTGCAAACCTTATCACCTCTTCAGACACTCACACATTCATCTGACCCCCTCCTCCCTGCGAATCAGCCGGGGAAGAGAAATCTCACAGACCATCAACTCCTCTGACACTTACCACAGTACCTCCAGCCTAATTCCTTCTGTGAGAGCTTTCTCACAAAACATCCATCAAACATTAACTCTGGTTTAAATCTTACTGAGTTTACTCTAACGGAGGATTACATTGAAGGAAGTCCGCTCAAAATCTAATGGGTTGATTATAGCTCCTAAATTCAAAATAGATCTTCATTTTATTTTACCGTTACTTCTTATAATTTTATCGTTGGAAAGTCATCACACTCTTTGTTAATATCTTCATTAATAACCATTTTAATCTTAGTTTGCCTGCATCCATTCTTTCATTTATTCATCATTGATATTTCTATTGCATATATATATTGCAACCATTTTTAATGCTTATAGTTGTTGTCCTGAGTTCATGCCTTTGCTTGGTCAGTGGGCATCTGTTTTTAAACGTGCATTATAAATAAAAGTTATGATGTGTAAGAGGGGGATCGGGTTACAAGTTTTCTGATTTCAAGTTATGAAATCACAGTTCCAAATGTCATAGCCTATGTACATGTACATGGTAATGTATTCACAGGGTTAGGGGATCAGGGTTATTGGCTTTTGAGCTCAATAGGAGGGATTGAATGCGATTCTTCTGAGTCATGCTTCCTTGTATATTCGATATTTATTGATGAGGTGAGGAGTGCTGGAGTAACATGTTACTCCAAAGCTCCCATAGGAGATTGAAAAGATTAAAGTCTCTTGTTCATATTTTGAGAACACTTTAAACATTATTCAAACCTTCAAAACCTCTTGACAAATTGTATAATTGATAATACAATTTAATTCATACTGTGCATTTTAAAGCTGGCTTTTTTCGTGTGGGTGTGTGTTTGTTTTTATGTGTGTGTGTGTGTGTGTGTGTGTGCGTGTGTGTTTTTCAGTGCCCATATATTACGTGTTTGCTTTCTACACTGTATCAGTTTGCCTTTTGGGGTTCAGGGTGATGGACTTGAATGACCAGTTTTAACCATGCTAGAATTTCTCACTTAGTGGCTACTTTACACTGAAGTCAGATTGGATTCACCTTGTGGGACGAATCACCTCAGGCAGTGCCCTTTTTGAAGGACTGTGTGTGTTTGCTCTCTCAAATGCACCATATGCTGTTTACTTCAAATGACCTATAGTGAAACACACTACTTAATAAAATACTTTAATACTGGGAAGTGTTCCACTTTTTTCCAGAAAGAGCTCAGGCATGCAATATGCTGTAAAGCAAATACATAGCTTCAACACACTAACTATCATGTTATCCTGTGATACAAAAACGAGACTTAGTTATCGAGCGATCTACTATTTTAAGGCTTCATGAAAATTTAAGCTAGTAAAACTTTCTCTTGAATCCATGCAGATTACCTCAAAATATGATGGGTAGCAGCAGTGACTTAAGAAAATGGACTTCCCGCTTAACTTCTAGATCTTGAATGTTTTTTAAATATCTCACTGATCTTTGTATTTAGCTCAGTAAAAGAAAGGTGAACTTCAATAATTTCTACTTTGTAATCTTGCTGTGACGAGTATCCATTAGTTTAATCAGATCGTTATGATTGACATTATTTCATCATGAAATGTAACTACTACATTTAAAAAACAGCAACTGGTGTTTCCTTCACAAACGCTAGCTCTAGCTTGAACCTCTCTGTGTATTTGGCTTAACTTGTGTTGAGCAGTTTGGCTGCACTAGCCCTCTGCTTTCCTGCTGCAGCTTCCTGATATGAATAAGCATCTTACCAGAAAGCATCCCACTTTACTACAAAGCAATGACTGAATGCATTGA